TGTAAATAAATCTAAAATATAATTATATGCGCATATGCGTTCGCATACAATATAATTATAGGTTAAAAAGTACACATTCATAATTGTGAATGTGTACTTTTTTACCTTATGACGAAAGAATATTTTTTCGAACCTAGTAGATGAAATAAAACGTAACAACCCGTCATTGGTTCCGAATCGTATTGAGATAGTGTAACTAACCGTCATTTTAGATTTTGAATCGTATTCTGGTAATTACCATAGATTATAATTATCAGCCTCAATATTTATCCCAACTTTATTTTAGGATTCAATTTCCCGATATAAAATAAGTAAAAAATTTGCTTCATTTTGAGATATATCCATCACTAGACAATTAAAGTAATTTTTAGGTCAAAATTATACATGATTACTTCAAAGCAAAAAATTAGGTTTAGAGTGTTAAAATTTTAACGACTGATAAACATTACATTTACTATTTGAATTTTATTCACTATTATTTTTTTTGACAATTGGTACTTTTCGATATTTATACATATCGATATTTTTAGGAATCGATTGGTTGATATGCTAGTGTTGTAGGGATGTCCACTTTTGAAAAACATCGATGTTTTATTCGATTCGATAAATCGGAACTGTACATCGATGTCTTCTGATGTATCGATTTAAAACATTAGTATTTTGTAGACATCGAGTATTTTTTTTATGATATTGAGACAGTTTATGTATTTCTGTTGACGCTATAACAACAAATACCAAGAAATATAATTCACAGAACACAGATAAAATATACTACTTCAACACAACTTTCCATGCTAACCATCACTAATTCATTAATTTTATTAAGTTAATCATATTTTATTGCCAGAGTTCTTTTGGGAGACTTTACAAAAACAATAATTTATTTAAACGTTTGCCTTTCAATTTATTTCGTTGTTTATTGACGATTTGTGCCGCTTTAGAAAATAAACGTTCAGATAGGACTGAAGTTCCTTCCATAGTTAAGTATGTGTATGCAATGGTATGAATTCTTTCATTCAGTAAATTACTGATTGTATTACTTCTCTCGTTGACATGATAATAAATAAAGCTAACTTACTTATCTCAGATCGAATATGTGAGCTCACAAAAAGACGAGATTTTATTGTAATGAGATGAAATATACACTATATTATACACAATCCACTTTAATCTTATTGCGTCCACAAAACCAAATGTAATTAAATTCGTTATTTTTTAAACATAAAAGCACGCCGGCTGACGTGATAAACAGTCAACATTTTTTAGTAAGTACATGTTAATCCAATATTGAATAGAACACTTTTCTTTTATTTTAATGAACAAATAGAAAAAAAACCCTGGTTGGCTGTATCATTGATACAGCCATATTTTATGCGTGGATACGTCTATGTATGAATGGATATATGAGTAATTGATAAAATTTTCACAAACATCCAGGTTAGGAAACACATCACGAATAGCTTTTAACCACTCTTCACGTCTATCGATGTTCTTTGGCACTCTAAAAATTGAACGATTTGCTTCTCCAAAACAACCCGGAATTATGCAACGTTGTGGCATAATTGCATTTATAAATGAATAATTAAAAAAAAAATAAACAAATTGAAGACACTAAACACTAAATAAATAAATATTCGTTGCGTTCATTTGTTGAATGAAAAAAGTATTCACTAGCGCCAACAGATGGCGTTAGTGCATATACTCCTGCTGACAGAATGCCCCTCCCCCTGCAGAGCAAGCATAGTTCACTTATACGTCAATAGATGGCGTTAGTGCATATACTCCTGCTCACAGAATGACCCCCCTGTAGAACGAAAACATAGACGTATCCACGTCAAAAGGTGGTTACAAGTAATCAATTCAATGTATTGTTAATAAAAACATCAATACATCGAGAATATTGAAAGCATTTCAAAACATCGGATCGATTCGATGTATCGAATTGTAAACATCGATGTTTTCAACCCTATAGTGTTGTTTATTTTTATTTATTTTTCCAAGATTTGGCTGTATGGCTTAGTTCCTTCGCCTGTCCCATGGACGAATTATAATACTACTATTTTTATTTATTTTGATTTTAGATGTAAGATTTAAAATATGCATACTTAAAAAATGGATAGTAAACTATGTCGCGTGTGTTGTCTTAATAATGGTGATTCAAATATTTATCACACCGATAGTTACGGCGTTTTATTAAGTAAAAAGATCATATATTGCTGTCCCAACATAAAATTATCAGAAGATGATGGACTGCCCATACATATTTGTAAACCATGTGAAGAGGAACTTGATACAGCCTACCGGTTCATATTGAAATGTGAAACTACAGATAAAGCTTTGCGTTCATCGGATGCTTGTTCTGATTTAAAAATATCTGACATAATCAATGACTGCAAACTTAAATCTGAAGTAAAGATAGAAGACTATAATTGTGATGATAATTACGATTCTAACGACGATTTTGATATTCCACTAGCAGCTATTAAACCTGAAGCCAAAAATTCGAATGCAGTAAGTGCAAATAAAATTAAATCTCATAAGAAAAAGAAAAAACAAACATCCATTGAACCAGGTCCTATTCATTGCTCAATATGTGATCGCAAATGTCAGAATCCTTCTTCTTTATTGGCGCATATGCGTTCACATACAAATGAGAAACCTTATCAATGCCTTTCATGTGATAAAAGTTATAAAGATCCAGGAAGTCTAAAAAGACACACTGATCGTAATCATTTAAAGCAAAGAGAGCGTAACTTCATATGTGAAACCTGTGGTAAAGGATTCTATTCGAAAACAGATGTAATAACACATATGCGCAGTCATACTGGAGAAACTCCATATACTTGCTCAGAATGTCCTTCTAGGTTCACACAGTTAAGTTCTTTAATACGACACCGAACAAAACATACCGGTGAGAAAAGTCAAGTGTGTATAACATGTAACAAAAGATTCAGCACCAAAGATCAACTCAATGCACATTTGCGTGTACACACAGAAACAAAGAAACAGTTTTCATGTACAATTTGTACTGTATTATTTAAGTACAAGAATAATTTGAGGAAACATATGAAAATGCATACGGAACCAAGTAAATTTGTATGCAATTACTGTGGCCGTATTTTTAATTTGAAAGGAAATTTAAAGATACATATTGACAGAGTACACTCTGAAAAGTCTGGATATTGTAATGTTTGCTGTAAGATAGTTTCAAATTTTGAAGTTCACATGTGGAGGCATACAGGTCAGAGACCACTGAAATGCGAGCACTGTACTAGTAGTTTTTATGAACTCAAAGCTCTTGCCCATCATATGAACTTTCGTCATAAATATACAGATAAATATAAATGCAATGTCGAAGGTTGCTTACGGACATTCCCATCTTTACCTATGTTGGATTTCCATGTAGCAAAAATACATGAAAGCAATATTAAATTTCCTTGTGATAAATGTTCAAGAGGATTTTACAGGAAAAATGATCTAGCACGCCACAAAATTGGCACTCATAAAGAAAAATTACAGTAAAATCTCAATCTCAGTACATTTTATGAATTCAATTCTAGTCTTAAAACAGTATTTATTATTATTAAATAATATATAACTTACAATGTTTTTTTTTATAACTATCAGCCAGTCATTTATTTAGTTATATATGTGGTCATCAGACTCTCACAAAATCTCTTTGATTTGAAATAAATTCCATTAATTCACTTATTTATCACTAATTCGTGGGTAGTTGAGGATAGAGTTTTTTATTATTAGAATATTTACATTTGAAAAAACAATCATAAACTGAAAGTAAAAAAAATCTGGCTAAAATAAAATTTTTAAACCTGGAAAATGTTTGCAAGCATAGTAATGACAGATCTATGTTGTTTGGATGCCGGCATTAGAAGACCCATAGGTTGCTTAAAATGTGGAAGTATTTAAAAAAACAGCTCCCAAAATCTAACTAATTGTCGCCACGGTAAGTTCTGGATTTCTCAATGACAACCTTTCCGGTTTTCTTTCTTGTAAATTAATTTTCAAAACTCAATAAAAGTAAATTAAATTAGTTTTCAAAACTCAATAAACAGTTCATGTTCTATTTGTACTTTTTCGTATTTGTATTGATATCTAATTGTAAGTTTCGAACTTATCAAATTTCAGTTTTTTATTATGTTAGTTAATAAGAACGGAAATAACTGCGTTTCGTCCATTCGTTTCCTGCAAAAATCAACTTTTGCTAGAGTCGCCATCTAGTGGAGGTGCTTTTTTAGTGCTTTCGTTTTTTTTAATACTTCCTCATTGGAATAACATGACAAAAAATTATCTTATTTCTACAAGTTGGGAATAAAAAGATTATCTCATCAGAAGTTATCAATTATTTGAAATCAGAACAAATAATTGTTAGCTTAAATACTATGATTCTAAGCATATGCACAGAAGAATATACTCTACGAGGGCTAGTACGTATATGAGAAGAATACCGACTGCATAGGCGTAAATAAAGGAAAATTTAAAGCACATGCGGCGTCGGGCTAACTTTTAGAACTTATGAAATATCATTACGTATTGTGAGAATATTGCTATTATGCATTTAAATAATGTTCTTTTAGAATTTCAGAAACCAATACATAACACACCCACACGCACGCACGCATGCACGCACGCACGCACGCACACACAAACACACACACACACACACGATTCGCGAGTGGGAACTGGAGTACTGAATTAAAGGGTTGCACAAACTTAGGCTCCAGGATTGCACAAAGTAACTAGGGTTATGTGCTTTACCTGTGGACGTTTTCCAGAATTTTAAAATAAAATTATTATTTTCGTCAAGACCTTTTGAATATTTGAAAATAGTAGAATTTGGTATTGTATATTTCTCAACAATTTTACGAATCAAAGTTCTAATTTTCACGATGTGACTGAATGTCATCGACCAGTGTAACAAAGCCTTAAGCCCCAGAATACACCCACCTCCATATTCAGCAACGCCAAGCCTGAACTAAACTGTAATAAACTTATTTGAATTATGATTCAAAAATAACAACAAAGTAGACTATACAATAGTATTTATTATACTTAGTGCTGATGAATATCATTATACAAACATAAAACATTATCACAGTCCACCACAGACAGAATCAAAGTAAAACAGAAAGAAAAGATAGATTTGCTTACACAGAATATAAGCGTGTGAACTAACAATGAAAAGTATTATTATTATTGCATCATAAAACTCTAGCGCTAACCAATATGAAAATTTGCATACACAAATAAAAACATTATGGACTGCTTAATAAATAAAAATTTACAAATAAAATTCCATAAATGTCAACCTTAATTATTTTAATTAAATTAATTTATGATGTAATTTATACATCTTATCAACACATCTATGGTTTGTACAAAAACATAAATCTTACTAGTTATAATTAAGTGTATATTAATAAATACATTGCATGCTTGTCCATTATTTACATGGAATCAATAACATTTCGTAAGTAAATTAACATAACAAATTGCACACGTTACAATCAGATATTTGATCCAGTCAAAATACAATATAGATAATATATTAATCTAAATAAATAAAACTGCGCAAATGTCATTAAATTATTCAACCATCAGTCAACAGGTATACATCTAATTTCATCAACATTCATTCATATTAAAAGAAAACATGGTGTGCAAAGTGTAACAAGTCAACAATCACAATTTAACAAATGTACGAATATCTATTGTATTACCTACGTACATACAATCTCATGGGGAAAAATTACAAAACATTAAAGCAGTTGTCAATTTAGGCCGCGATACTTTCATTATTTATCTAGCAGTGACTTTTTATATCAATGATAAACAAATATTCTTTGCATGAACTGAAAACTTCTAGTATTTTCATTCGGTTTGTAATATTTCAATAATAAAACAGGAATCGGAATACACTTCCACTAAAAAATATCAACATTTTATTAATAATTAAAAATAATAATAATTGGGAACATCCCACAACAAATTATCATTATTATATGTAATTGTATATACACATTTCATTAGAAATTGAACTAACACTTTATTATTTAGCTTTTTACATATTACTCTGAATATAATGACTGTGTATAAATTAAATAGTAGCACCAGAAAATTGAAGGACTGGCTTGTTTGCATTATACATATTGCAGTGTCGAACCAACTCGTTGTTGCCGATACTAAATTCATTATAATAATTAAGTAAACAATATCTTATATATTTATGTTACAATTACACATGATTGATATTAAAGTCGAACATCTAATAAAAATTGTTTTACAACACCTAAACAGTAGAACAATTTCTTACAACCACCAATATTAATTTGTATTTTAGGTTAAATTAAGGCATCATTTTATTAGCTCTCATTTTTCTCTATAAAAATAAAGTGGATTTAAATTCTAAACGTTTGTGGATTGTACACATTACCAACACCTGTGCATGTGAGTTCCAATGAATTATCATATTTGTAATCATATAAGAAACAAAATAAACATGATGTGGAAGGAAAATTACTATTTTTTAGTTTAAATCACTTAAATAAAATGATGCTATGCTTGTTATAACTACGTCCGAAATACTTCATGTTGAATTAGGCTTATACTTTAACTTCGATGTCAGCTCTTCAGAAATTTATTATAATATGAATTAAATTAAGTCTTCTATTATTTTTATTATGTTTTAGTAACAGAAACACACATTATAATATTTAATAAATACAAAATTGACTCGTCGTATCTGCTTAGCTTCATAACGTCATAAGAATAGAATAAAATAAAATCATATTTAAAATACTTGTACACTGTATGAGGAATGAAAGGGGGTTTATTTTTAATTGGCTACAATAATTATTATAATATATTTAGATAAACTTATCATGTATTATATACCCAAAGTGTATATTCAAAATAACATAAATATTCTACATTTTCAACAATGAACTAATTATATAAGAAATAAAATAAAACTTTTTGATGGTCTATCAGATACCAGCAATTAAATATATTTCTAATATGAGTAAACTACGACCACATACATATATGTCATTAAACAAAAACAAACAGTACCACTTGTGCTAAAAACTGACTGGCAGTATTTTCAGATTTCCATTCGAGTATGCACTAAGTTATAATCATGACTTAAAGCCCTACACTCGAGAGTGTATTTATGTCAACACATCCCTACATGCAGTAGTTACTCTCAATTACGATAATCAATCATTCAACTTTTCAATCAAGAATGACACTATATTCAGTCTATATTTAGCCGTGACTAAACAATTATCTTCAGATATGATGGTTCTCGACTATCTATTATTCCGAATAAAATCAGAATTACACTACAGACAATGGTCTACACTTCATCACAGTGTCATTAAAAAAACAACTCTCTTACAATCTCAATATAGTCTGCGATTCAGTTAAAAACGTCAACGGGGAACGTATACAATTTTCAAACCGAACTCACTCCGAGTCAATGTATCCACTCGAAGCAGAAAATAATAGGTTCAATTTGATCACTCACATGAATGGCTCGCTTCGTCTGCTGAAAATTTTCTTTCCAGGTAGGTGGGTTCAGTTGATGGCTTGTTCGGTCATCTGTAGACAGAGCGCGTCTAGACTGGAGTAGTCTTCGCTGAGGGCGGAGGAGGGAGGGGGCTGGCGGGGCGCGGGCGGCGGCGGGTACGAGTGGGACTTGCCGCGCGGCATTGCGGGACCCAGCTTACAGGGCGCCCACACGCGCCGGGACATACCTTTCTGGTACCCGTTGTGGGACACGCGCCATCTGGGACCATTATTAGGCTAACATTACACACGGAAAAACCACTGACTGTTATGGAAAAGGTATTTTAAATATTCATATGACCATATTAAACTATTAAACCACTATCAGATTTAATTTTCTCCCAAGTATTATTAAATAAAGGAAGAACACATTTTTAATATAAATTGCCCCGCGAGCACAATAAGTCACGTGACATTTCGAGCCGTTTTGGTTAAATGTGACGTCACGCAATGCTCCATCGTGGCCGGCCAAGTTTACGTTATTGTGATCCACAGATTATAATTTAGCAAAAATAAAATATATTAACAGTTTAAAATATAGTATATGCTTATAAGTTATCGTTTCCAACATATTACATAATTTATTCAAATCAAGTAGCTACTTGACTTGTTGTTGGATATTCATACATTTATTATGTACTAGCTGTTATACTTCCCGTAGATGAAAGAATATTTATCTATTGAATACGAGACAGTTTAATGCAAACAAACAAGCGATTCCTCTTATGTAAGCAAAGTAAAAATTATCTGGATTGATATTTCAAAATGTAGGCCAGAAATCAGTTGTCAGCAGGCCAATCAGCAATGTTCTAGGATAAGTCAGACTCGGGAAACCGTTTGATGATATGCCTTATACAATATCTCACTCTCCGTCTTTTCTTTCGCGCGCGTTCATTATGGTACGCAGACTGACCAATAGGTCTGAAGACAATTAATCTGTTTACCCAACATATCATTCAGGTCCTCATTTTGACAGATCAATCAAGGCTTTGTAGCGTTAAAGCCGCAATCTATGTATATAATCAAAGGCTATTGCTAACTGTAAATGATTCTAATTGGGTTTTTGATGTTATATTAAATAAATGAATATTGTAAAATTTTTAAACCAAACATAGTACCCGAAAGATGGGGACCCATTTTTGTCGATATACCTATTTTATTGATTTTATATGATGGTAGCAATTCCGTTACATAAACTAAAGACTCCCGCAGAAAAATGTATAAAAACTGGTTTTCAGTAAAAAATCACGAAATTTAAATAAGATTTATATTCAACTTCCTTGATCATTTTTGTAAAAGTACACTTTCATCAGTTATAATATCCGAAATAATTGGTATAATATTCAAAACTATGCTTTTACTGTATATAAGGCGTTACTCTGAAATTAAATAAGATAACAGTAATAAAATTCTTATCATCATCATCTGCCCTTTTACGTCCCCACTGCAGGGGCTCAGGCCTTCTTTATGGATGGTTAAGGAGGATGGGCCATGACCGCCCAATGCGGATTGGAGGGTATTAATGACTCCAAATGCACCCGCGACCAAAGGCTTAACGTGACTTCCGAAGCTCAGAGTAGCTCGTGCAAAAAAATTTTTCGTCACTCATCCCATACCTGGCCGCGGCGCTTATCCACTACCACTAAGCTACTCCAATTAGTATACGTATAATTATATTTCTTAAATAGCATTATGGGCCACTTACTAATTACCAATTACTTTATTATCAGGAAGCCTACTTTAATTCTCTGAAAACGGAATTTCGTACATTCTCGAAACCCCATTTCAACTCTGTAAACCTATTTCTTTGAAAATTATAACTAAAGTAATACATGATATCGTCTCTATGGTCATGGTACATTACCATTTATCTGTGTTGGTACATTAAAAGTTGGTACTTTATTACAATCCTACGAAATTTTCCGAAATGTCGTTTTCGGAGATACAGAGTAGGGCTCGAGATAGTTATCAGTTCATACACACCTGGGTTTAGGACATCGTCTGTTGAGTGGCATATCTGAAACATGGTGGAAAAATTGCCGCGGCGGCAAACGATGCCGTAACCTTCGCAATGCCTCTTGCAACTCGGGGCGATTGAAAGCCTCATGGTGGAGAGCCTGCAATACACGAATCACGGTTCTTATCCTAAAGTTACTATGTATGATACACGTTTTTTTAACATCAAAAATGTTAGGTACGATTCAGAATGAAATCATTCTCAGGGTATTAATATTACCGAATGGCGAAAGTAAGTAATATTAGAATTATTTGTTTGAAAACAAATAAAAATCCGCACACCAGTGTTATCCGAACCATAAAAATTCAATGTTCAATTCAAAACCATAATGTAGATCACATTATTTTGTGAGGCATAAAGAATATTATTCTCAAACAAGGTTTGTTAACAATGAGATAGACAATATTGTTAAAAAAGTAACATTTCTCTCTGGTAATATCAGTATAGATATATTTCGTATGCCTCCTTCAGTTTAAATTGATCGAAGTCAAAATAATTCAAATAGACTTCAAAAGTACTTTTACTTTTGAATCGTCAAACATTTTTTCCCGAAAGATCCCGATCTGTTATTAGCCTTATAACAATTATAGAAATATTAAACTACCTTAATTACGTGGTATAAATACGATAAAAAGAAGATATTAACACTTATTTAAATACTTATAACAATCTAATTCAATATCATTTTCATACATACAATGTCAAATTATTCGAAATAATGTTAAAATTTATCAGTTTATGAAGACATTTTTTAATTAATTTTTTCCAATAATAAATTAAATACTACGTTCTTAAATTTATTAAATGGTAACATTGTTATGTCTGTCGGTAATTTGTAGGAAATACGTATTGCCATGCAGTAAAAGTCGCTTGAATATAGATGGAGCCTCAAAACTCAGTTCCGGGATAATATAGAAAAGTTTTTCTACACTGAATAATCCAACTGGGGACCTTAAATATGGCGACACTAAAACCAGCGAGCGAGCCACTCGGCGACGATTCGTTGTAAATCTTTGATCACCCATCCCGTGAGCGGCCTTTCTAATTTTGCATCAAGCTCAAATAGTGACAGATAACAGGGATGTTGACTAATATTTGTGGGTCTGTCCATCGGGTAGATTATTCCTCCGAGCGAGCCTCCACTCTTCAACTATAATGCCTATTATCTACGCCATTTCATGTTAATTTTAAGAAAAGTACATAATACAAAACTTATAATTAGATTACCTTTTCAATTAGCCAGCAATGCAAAGACAAAGGATCTACTGGAGACTCAAGCTCGCTTTCATCAGATAGTCCTAAAGCGGGCACTTGAGCAGTAGCAGTCATTCCATTGCTTATAGTTTTAGATGCTGTAAAAACGAAATTTTATTTTTTTATTTATCGCTAGCTACCCGCGGGCGAAATTATTTTGGAAATCTCTTTTTCTCTTTACTGTGATAAGCATGTATTATACATCAATCATCCTCTTGGTTCAATCTGTATATTGATGGAAACTGCATCAATATCCATACAAATGGCGCAAATGAATTTAACTGAGGGTTCAACATGATATATGAATTAATGAATATTGCACCTAAGGGACTATTCTAATTGTCCTCAAAAAAAAAATTATTTGCTGCTTCAACAACAAACACTAAAAACCAGAATAAAATACATATTTAAGGGAGCCATACAACAAATGTGAGTTTATTTTTGCTAGTTTTTGCCCGATATTAATAAAGACAACTGGTAGAAGCTAAATATAAATTATTAAATTAAAATTAAACAAATATTTATTGGGCATACAACATTTTTTGACCGAAACCTTCGCGCATCAATCCGACTCGCATTTGGTCGGTTTTATAGAAACATCAGATCAAAAACTGGATTTCAAAACCAAATCGAAACTCAAAAGTGTACAAACAAGAAGAGGACTTACCCAAGTCCAAAGTCCTGACTATAGCGACAGGTAAGTCAGACGCAGGCAACATAGGGCTCAACAACACGCCCCGAAGTCGTTCGAGAGCACGGGCCGCTGCAGCCGCCGTCACTCCTGCCGCTAGCTCACTCTCAACTGCTTCCAATATCGACGCGCGTTCATTCAACTTCTTGATCGACAGGAGTAATTTGTGCCGTGCTCCTTTTGTAACACCTATTAGAAATAAATCACATACAATGCCCTAGTAATTTACATTTTACATCATTTACATATTTTTTCCATAGCATAGGTACGGTGACATATGGCATTTAAAGCATTTAATTATTTGTTAATAAATATATAAAAAAATAAATGATAAAAATTGTCAAATGATTCCCGATTATAAAAACATTCCATTTTCTTTATAAGTAGTTTATAAGTATTGATATCTTAAACTTTAACAGTGCTAATTATAAACAAGGTTTAGCGTCATAGTAAATTAACACTAAAATTAGATAGATAGATAAAAAAAATATTTCTCAGCAACACACAATTACATCACTTTACATCACAAAAAAGAAACAAAGAAGAACAAGAAACAGAAATATGCCTGTGTGCAGCAATTTAAGTATTAATTCAAATTCATATTATACAGAATAAGCAAACCTTCGAGGAGTAAATAATACTCCAGTAGAACCTTCTACTAGGTTAACCTTTGCTTAGTATCGGTTTAATAATATGAATTTTGACTAATACTAAGTGTAGTCTCAGTGTAAATTTACTCCAACGCTAAACCTTGTTTATTAATAACACTGTAAGGAGATAAGACTTTATTATTATAGCTATCAAAAATGTATTTATTATAATATGCAAATTTAAATAAATGTTTAATATATACACAGTCTAACTATTTTTATAACTATGGTTTTTAATAATTTGGAAATACAATTTGCATTAGATGGATTTCTTAACAAAAGTCACAGCACCCATACTATGTGAAACGGACTATAGTATTCATCATCATCGCCAGCCTATTAATGTCTGCTGGGGAGAACCCGTGACATACGCAATCGGGACCAACGACTTAACGTGCCTTCTAAAACAAGAAAGGAGCTCCAGATAATAAATTTTTGGTCACCCATCCGATGGTCACTGCGAAAGTTGCATAGCAGCATATCGCCGACCGAGCACGCTAACCACTGCGTCATCGAACTAACTGTTACTTAAATCTAACTCACCTAATTCTTCAAGATACTTTTCATCTATCGCCATCATTTGCTCGTATGAGATATTGGTAAATAACCAAACATATTTATGTAACCTCAAACTCTTCAGCCACTGTGTTACCGTTGACATTCCTGCATGTTCTGTGTAATTATTAGATTTGAGATCATCCAACCGTGTCTCACTACCTGTTGTTCCATACAATATACTGATCGGCCTAATCTGTCCCAAACTGTGCTCACTGGACAGTGAGAAACTCCGCGGCTTTTGTACAAATGGCTCATCACTAAGATTTTCAGCAGAGGAAGACATTTGTGTGAAATTGCTTGAAGGTGGTGTCAGACTATTGGATCTTTGAGATTTAGGCTGTGATATTGCTAAGTCAAAATTGAGCTTTTCGAAATCTAAGCTAAGATCCACATCCCTGCCATTCTTTGAAAATGACTCTTGCAATATGTCAGTGTAACATGGGTCCATTGTGTCAATCAAGCCTCTGAATTCAACATTTTTACCAATAGTTCTTCTGAATGTATTATTTGAACTCCAAATATTGTTCTCTGGTAATAAGCATGGATCTACTCTTGGATGCCAAAGTGATTCTGTGTTTCTATTACCCGAAATATGATTTTCTAAATAGCGTAGCCATTGTGTCAAAGTGCTGTGAAAATTAATTAAGAATTTTATATAATGGATAGAGCAAAACTAGATATTAAGAGAACCAGTTTATTTGTTGACCTCTTTAGAAAGAAACCGCCGTAGCTGCCGGGGTTGCCAGGTGTAAGCAATGAAAATAGTCTAATGTGGTTTCAGGATTCACCTTCCATCGATGGATACCAATTTACAAGTTCTAAAATTGTTCCTTTGACATTTACAGTTTTTAGGATAAATCTCAAAAATGCCCTAAAATCGGGTAATTTTTTTCCACCATATGAAAGAGTTTATAGAGATACACAATCGCTCAATACATGCCAAATTATTTCCATAGTAGTTGTAAAAGCTGAGCTTGTCAGATATATCATAGCAGTCTGTATTTAAGTAGAGTTCTATATTGAGGGTGAATACAAGTAATTTTTCTAAAAATCTTTTTTTCTTTCAAAAAAACTTTCAGTCAAACCAACAACAAGAGTCAAACATAAATATTGTTATTTTTAGGGATTTTTGCTTATTTTTGACATTAAACATAAATATGTAACAGAGTACCAAAGAAGCAATAATTTCTCTAATTTCCATAAGTAAGGCATTTTTGTATTTTTTTACTTCAAATAAAGACATAAAATTCATATAAATATCAATCATATACTGTGATAAGTTGATTACATACTTTTCTTTTGAGAAAAACAGAAGAGTATTTTTTCAACTTATTTGAAATTTACTAGTTTATTTTTTGATTCTAAATACACTCCTAATGCAGTTTCCCTTTAGAACATAATATTTAATCTAAATAAAACTGTTTATACAGATAAGGTTTTAAGCCCTATATGTACCTTTGGTCATTATGCGTCAGTGCTGGGTGAACTAATAAATAGGTTAGTAGCTGTCTGCACAAGTCAACTACAATACAGGATCGTCGTGGTGCATCCACACATCGCTGGACTAGAGCTGGTGTGGCAGTCATGTATACATCTTTGGCTCGCTCATTATCTATCCTCAATAAGGGCAATAGTGTCAATAGCTGTCGCAGTTGGTCACCTCCTATAATTAAAAAATAATAAGTTATTAAAATTACCTAAATAAGTTATAAACAAGTTATTATCATTACTAAGAACCAAAGACTAGGCATAGATAACACTTTATTGTATACACCAAAAATACAGAGAAAAGAAATCATAAACAAATATGGTAAGCTTTACAGTTGTAAGTTTTTCAGGTTAGTAAGTTTTTTCAAGTTGGTAAGTTTTTCAGTTACCAATAAAAAGAAATTCTGTTTAGTTTGTCAGTGAGATAATAGATGAATATTAGTAACATATTTTTTTTACTTCAATTAACAAGAAATAGCTCAGACAACAGGCATTTAAGTTGAGGACTGTGGGCTTCCTATGTCACAATTTTGTAGAAAATCTACAAAAGTATGACATTTTAACTCAATTTATCTCTGTAATTTAAAAAAATACATAAAAATAAAAACAATGTTTGTTTAATATTTTCAACAATCTACCTGACAGACAAATAAAAAAAATTAAGATATTATCACTCTTCTATGTATACTACTAGACTAGACAAGCTATTCTGCACTAAATTGTGACACAGTACAAGCTCGCATGGGTGCATCGCCTTGCACTCTTACTCCTTACTCCTCAAGACAGTATACAGTCAACTAAACAATGTAGTTGTGCTGACACAACAACTTAGCAAGTAATTTTCCAGAACCTAACAGCTTCTCTTATTTTATACATAGAAGTATTTGCAAGTAACATATTAGAAAAAAAATGTTCAGTCACATTTATTGGACATATTAGTTTATTGCATGAATATTAAGCTTGAGATCTAGAATTTAGTACATTAATAAATATTTTAACAGTTGTTTAGATGACTATTTTAGGATATTCTTGAAACATCAATAATTTTAATATTATTAATATTTGTAAATGAGGGTAGAAGGAATTTTTATCTTGAAACTTAAGTAGTAGAACAAATTCACGTGTAATAATAACTTCTTGAATACTTGTCATACCAGATAAAGTAGCAATAGCAAAATATAAATTATTCTTACTGACTGATTTACCTTCATCGTCAGTATCGTCTGGTCTTGGCGTTAACAGGTTTGCCAATAAAGTCTCATCATTTGCATCACGTTCAAGTCTTTCATCTTCGACGTGATTCTGTAGCGCCGCCTCCACTGCTCGCTGTACTAACTTTAGCCCAGGCCACGGAACTCGCCTAGCTAGGGCACATGCCAACACCGTCTTCTCACAAGCACCCCACTGTTCAAACATACCGGCAACGCCACCCAGCTGCTCGTAAAAGGTTCCGTTCATCTCGACAACAGCATAGCAAACCAATTTTATAAGATTTGTTTGTGTTCTACACGTCAAAGGTCCCTGACAGCTGATCGACAAGGCACAGTTTTGCTTATACAAGTACACATTAGCGTTCAAATCGACACCTGGACTAGATTTGCAAACTGCAGTTGATATTTGAATAGTTGATATTATTGGAAAATCACAGGTAGTCAAAAAACATTTCTTTTGAACTATTCATTTACACTTTAGCAAAATCCAAAATGGCTAACCATAGATAAAAAAGGTTTAAAATCAGTGTTTCCACATTCGTTTCCGATTTTGCCATAAAAATTTTGTAATTGCTTTATCTACCTAAAATTAATATTTAAAAATGTACTTTATAGATAGAGTAAAGATAGGTAAATATCTGACGCTTTACGTTCCTTTAGTCGATGAACTACAAAACTGACAATACTTATATGATACGACATTCGTTCAACATATTGTCAATATTATCTAATTTATCGGACACATTTTGTCCATCAGAAAATAAATAATTTCTGGTGAACCTGCAAAGTTTATTTGTTTATTTGTTTGGGAATACATTTAAAAATATTATAGTTAAAAAATGTGATTTTATTTTCATATAATCTCTAATATTATTTATGTTGATTAATATTTCAGCCAAGGTTTAAACAGTACATTCCAACTATGAACTTTTTAATCATTGCATTTATTTTTTTATTTCTTAGATGATTCTATGTCCTTTAGTCTCTTCCATATTTTTAATTCGTTTACGCTAAATTCACACTCAAATTTTTGTTTGTTAATATAATTAAAATGAGCAATTACACAACTATACTATGCGTATACGTATATTACTAGAATACAACAAGACCATATTCTGAAATATGCATGCATTAACAAACGAAATCAGTATTCTCATTTGCTTATAGCGAATTGGTATATATAAAAAATTTCTGGAACCCAGTGCACACATTAGCATAAAAAGGCTCTATGAAAAATATTTTGCCATTTTTATGCTACTTTATTAGGATAAAGTATATCCTTAATCATTAAAAATATAAAAACCCTGAAACATACTATTGTATTCGGCCTTAAAAAAAGCGAAAGCCTTAAAAGTGGAAACACTGATATGAATGACGTTGACATTATTAAAACCTGTCCCCATTGCGGATTTATTCTTGCAAATCTGTCTAAATTGAATCCTGCCCCACGGAAGATAATAAGCGAGCGCAAGTTTTAAACACGCCATTAAAAATTGCGATGCCATCATACCTTCCTGGGCACGAGAGAATTTATCCAAGTTTGATATTTTAATTTATTTAGATGATTAATAAAATAACTTATAGTAATTCAATGTGTTTATTTGGCTACTTGACAGTTTTAACAATAATTTCTAAAGTATGTTGGATGTGATAGCTTATATTTAAACAATTACTATGAAATATTTAATAGCTTTTTATTTTCTCAAAATTATCTTACGATTTATTATCTGTGAATTACGAGAATCAAAACATAGGCGGCAACAATGGAGCATTGTGGGACGTCACATTTCAATAAAGTAAATGTCAACTTCTTTCTCACGATATGATGTCTAAAGCTTTCGTGGTCATCAGTATAATATTGTAATCTTTGGTGGTCATTTACATTAGAATATGCCTAGTATTTTTTTCTTAGTCTGTGATTAGAATGATAGTTCTAAACGCGAGATCTGCCATGTACCTTGTTTTATATCGAGTTCCCGATATTTCGGTGCTGTTGCAAGCGTCTTTTTTTTCGGGTGCAAACAGTAGGTACTTACTCGTTTTCGTTTATTGAAATAGGACACAGAGTCTCGAAATATCCCGTGACTAATTGTTTTAATTCCTCCGGAGAATTTAAATTAATGAGTAAGAATACATTTTTTGTTTATTTAATGACTTCTTTTACAGTTTTTTTTTTTTAAATATAACTGAGAGTGGTCTAATGTGATCTCAGTAAAGTTTTGAAATATTTTTCTAAACAATGGAAGTATCTATTTTACCGCGTGTACGCGAACGGGGCATGTCTTTCTTGTGGACTTCTCTGCAGTCAATAAATTCTCGCCCGAATTCTAATTAATTTTCATGAACTTGTTAACCACCTTAAGCTTTAAACAATAATCTTTTAAACTACAGAGTAATGCGAGAAAAATTTTTATAAGTTAACACGACCACGCGAACGAAGCCGCTGGCGGCCTAGTTTTTATAATAAGATTTTTCCTGCGACATAGCAAATTTTGAATAGAGAAAAGTTTTTTCTTTTTATTCAAACGGGTAAAATAATAAAATTCCGTACTTAAGTTGATGACCAATAATGCTATCAAACATTTGACCAGTGACAGATGTTACCTAAAAAACTAAAAGAAATAGAACAAACTATATAAATGGTTTGTTCTATTCCAATTACACATTACGTACTTGTACGTTTTTATTATCAAGACCATGTTACTTACCACATTAGCTAGCCATAATAATAAAACACACCTTTTATTATAATAAAACAAACAGTCAAAGAAAAATATCAAAATTGTTTATAAAATCAGTTTTATAAATTTTGAGACACTGTGCAATTTATTCAATGTAAAGAAATGGACGTGATGAACGTTTCTAGCTTTTAAAGAAAAAATAAGGTTTTGAGTTATTATTTTTCCGGCTTCGACATCTTTCTCGGACTGTTGTAAGACATCTTCAGATACTTTAATTTTACACAAGTTCGTGAAACCAACTAACTGTTTGTAAGTCTCAAAATAAAATAAACCCGGTATGATTGGTACATTAATTTGAACGTTCTTACACCTGTCATAGAAACTAGTGAATATTTTGGATTCGAAGAATGCTTGAGTAATGATAAAATTTGCACCGACTTCTACTTTCTTCTTAAGTGCGTTTAATTTTTCATCGTCACAATTCGGCGTTCCTGCTACTCCTATACAAAAGTAATCTCTAGTTTCATTCCTTATTGCTGTAATTAATTCTTCGGTAGATTTGAAGTCTGATGAGTCTGGATCGAAATTTTCTGATAAAATAAATAAATATTTATTAATATGTAATAAATATTCATCGCCTTATTTATAAAATACAGATAGGATACATATCTTTATTTATTATAGATCAGTACAACTTGTATTCAAATGAATTAACAAAATGCAGCTTCAATATATTTATAACGATGTAAGTTGTAATCGAAATAAATTAATCTGGAAGACTAGCTATTTTCCCACAACTTTGCCCCTTTTATATTAGAGTCTATGTCATACACGCATGATGTACCTTCCATAACGTGAAAGATTTTTATATTTGAATTATTTGAAGCGTTTTACATTCAATATAATTGGTCCAGCAGTTTTAGAGCCAGTGTAAAATAACAAACAAACTATAAAATCTTTCCTCTTTATAATATTAGTGTATATTAAAGATTCTTTCACTTATAAGTTAGGTAACCCTTGATTGACCTGATCATAGTCTTATAATTTTTCAATTTCAATTTATAGCACTTACCTCCAAGAATTACAAACAAATTGCGTATACTATTTTCTTGAAGCATCTGCAATAATTTAACCAAATAGTTTTTCTTTAGTAAATCACATGTCAAGTGTAACAGGACATTTTTATTTTTTCTTCGCAAAAGCCTCGCAAGTCTCAGTGGAGCTATATCCAGATCCTTGTTAAGGTGAGATTTAGCATGCCAAGTGACTGAATAAAATAATGGCTCTATTGCCAAATTTTCCAAGTCAGCTTCCAGCACATCTGGTGTTACTTCAAATGAATATGTCAATTGAGTTTTGTCTTTTAATAAGTCCACTACTTTGGCCATTTCACCGTCCGTAAATCTGCAAAGTGAACTCAAAATTATTGCTCCAGAAATAGAAGCAAGCTGAACATTCGGTGGTCAGCGGTAGCTAACTTATTAAATCAATATATTAAATACTATAAAATTATACTTCTGATAAAGAGTACAAGTTATGTATATACTTATATATAATATAAACAAATATTAGAAGCTTAGATAACTCAAGAACAAAGCACTTACAAGAGTCAAATCACAAAGAAACGATAATGAAAAATAAAAACTCGTTCTCAATCGAATGCAACGAATTATAACAATTAAATAAACATGACTTTATTTGGTGATACCACTTTAAACTGTGTACTGTGTACAGCTATACTACATTTGTACGTAGATAATGCTCGAGTTTGAGCTGATATTATCGGTTGCCGACTTTGTTGATTAACCTCTCAATATCAAACGTTACCTACCAGACTCGATTGAGTCAACTTAACAGGAAAATTCGCACACACAATGTGTTTCGACAATTAGGTATTTAATGAGTAGCTCGATGGCTTAGTGAATAAGCTTAGGTATTTAATGAGTAGCTTGATGGCGCCACGGCCCGCGATCGTTGTTGTTAAACAACTTTCACAAAGGTCGATCACGGGATGGTTGACAAAAAATTATTATCTCGTTCGGAAGGCACGTTAAGCCGTTGGTTCCGGCTGCATTTGACATCGTTAATATCCTCCAATACGCATTGGGCCAGCGTGGAAAGTTAAGTAGTCATGACCCATCAGTGTTGCCATATATACAGATTTCTCCTTATTTATACATGTTTGGTGTGTAATATTGATTAGCACTGCATACAAATTTTTATACAGTTTTCTTACTCTATAATAATATTCAACTCAAACAGAACAAAGCAAAATAAATGGTTAGATAACGTGTAACACACATCATTCTATTATTTATGGATTATTTATTTTTTTACTTTTATGGCATTAAAAGTGTCTTATTTCTTTTGTTTTATTTATTTACTTACAGCCAGTTGCACAAACGTCCATTAAAATTGACTTTACTTTAAAGCGACATTACAGATACAAATTCGAAATTGATTAAAGGTTAAAGACGTTTAACGAATTAAAATATACGAAGTACTTCGCATTAGTTAGAAAAATGTGAGAGCGAAATACTTCGGACAGCACGCAAAAGTTCTTGGGGGATTTCTCGGATAGATCGTGAACTCAAAAATTTGCTAAAAATAAACGTGTGTTCCAAATTCAGTGTGTTGTCCGTTAAAATAATATTTGCAAATATAGTACATAAGTACTAAAATTTAACATCAACTTTACTAATGAGTGTATATTTTTATTTAATTTACAATAATAAAACTTTACTTAGTACTTATCCCTTATTTTTCAAAAGAAGTAATGATGATTATGTTCAGAAAATGTGTTTTGATTTCTTTAACCATACAGATTTAAAAGTTCAAATAGTATATAGATTTTAGCAGTTCCTACTACAGATAATAGGTACAAGGCACTTGGCAACACTATGACCCATCCTCTTTAACCATCCATTAAGAAGGCTGAGCCTCTGCAGTGGGGAGATAAAAAGGCTGATGATGATGAGTATATTTAGTGAGGTTTAATCAGTAAAGACTGTTATCAAGGTCTTGTAAAGTTGAAAAAGTATGTCTTCAGCAGTATTAAACAGTATTAAAATCGACCTAGAACTCGATGACGAAGTTACCCTCGTCGCTATCACTGTAAGACCTATTTGAAAAGGTGATAAAGGTTTTTAACTTTTAAAGTGTTTCATCAAAGCTCGATGTCGTCACAGTGCTGAGCTCAACGTCGAATTCAAGGCTCTTTTTCAACACAATAGCATAGCTAATCTGCCCGCGCCATGCCATGATAACTTACGCACCTATTATGGGCGGAGCATGGGAGCGCCCGATCAGGAGTGTCAAGACGCTGAGAGAGCGAGCACCACGCGAGAAAGTAGGCACTATCTACGCTGTTAAACGAAGCAGGAGCTATTATCAACGCGCGCCCTCTGGCACATATTTCTTCAGATCCTGACTATCCGAAGTCGCTCACTCCAAATCATTTTTTACTTGGAGACTCATCGGGACGTCTATTTCCGGGCCACAATTTGTCAGACGCCGATTTGGTGGGCAGGAGTAATTGGCGCACTCAGACCATTTTCATGACGAAAAAAATTATTTACCATATTCACATCACCGACTTACGTAGAAGTATAATAAGTATTGAAAGTAAATCTCAATCGGTTCAGTGCTATTCTAGACCTAATAAATTAATTGCTCAGTATCGAAATCAGAGGTTTTGAAGATAATCAATAAAATTAATGTAAATAAAATTTTGTTTATCTGATATAATAAAAACCCAAGTTATAAAGGTTTAAAAAACAGCGAAACACTGACAAAAGGTTGGCGCTTCGTCTAGTCAGATATCTTTATTATAGTTGCAAGTACGAGTATCTACCGATTTGTGATGATAATTTTTTTTTTGAAAGATAATATGATATCACCAACAGTATTTTTTTGGTATCTAATAATGTTATATACCTAATCAAGGATATATAGCTAATTAAATGTTAATTTATGGTCCATAAATGATTAAAAAGATGTACCTAAAATGAATTTTAAAAACGAATCCCATATAAGATAAATCTTATCTCCATCTGTATATAGCTGATACCTAACGTGACCAGACGCCCTGTTTCAACCGTCCCCTTTTCTGGGTGTCTGTCCCGGTATCCACAAAGATAGCCCCTGGACGCAAAAATACCTTTGAAAAGGATTGCGATAAGTTTTAAAATTAGACAAGCCACCGATCATAAAAACTCTCACCTGTCAAAATCGACTACGAACACAGCGCTATCACAGCATAGAGATCGATCGAATAAAATGTATTTCAAATCGCAATAAGATTATAATAATTCTTTGAACAAATACTCCAAGTTTACCGTGGTCGTCGTTGAGTTTAAAGCTGATTTAATTACACAATAGTAGAGGTGAGGTGACGAAAAGACAAAAGATAGCGTAATTTGCGTTCATTCAAATTCGGAAAGGAAAAATTTCCATGTTCAACAGGTATTTAATTTTTTAGTATTTCCTATCATTTATAAAAAAAATATCAACACCTCTAAAAAGCATGATTTAAATAAAATAGACTTTAAACTTAAAAGTGAGAAATAATACTTATTACTCTATGTTAATTACTCTTATCTTATTACTCTAAGTTTAATAATACTTATATGAAAAGCGACTTATTCAAGAAACTGCTAAAGAAGTTGTGTGGCTCTTATTAAAAAAAAAAAAAAATAGGAGCTCTGACATATTAATTTGGAAATCAAGAATGCATGGAGGGCAAGTACATATCTCGTAGCTGGTCCATCAATGATTTTTCCCTGTCCGTGATTTAAATAATTTCTCGTTCACTTATTTCGATAACCTAGTTATTGATCAAAAATTAAACTATGATTTGTGACGGATGACACTAATGCAATGCTACAATTTTCGTAGCGTAGCATAGACGAGCAAAAGTAAAAGTTATACCGCAAATTTTTTTTGTAAATAAACAAGAATTTGAATGAAGTAAGATCTCTCAAAATTTAGAATACTATTTTATCAGCTATTCACAGTTCTTTCCTAAATAATATTTTTATTACAACTAAAAATATAGATATTAAAATAATGTCAGATGTATAATCATTGGATGAAGATACATAGCCAACCTTTTTGCCCTAAAGCATTAAATAATTGCGTTTGGCATGGGACCACATCCACCACGGTTTTCTCATTTTCGAATTTCGAATGGAAATATTGTGTCGTACATCTTCAGTCGTCAAGTTTAGTTTTTATAATTAAAAGGAGGCGTTAAGCTAAAAGACTATCCATGCTTATTTTATTGCGGCTGGCAATGAGATAGAGAATGAGAATGGCAAATTAATAAATGACTCCCAAACTATGACATATAATGTAGAAGTGCTGCATAATTCCTTCGGCTACAAAGTGACGTAAGTATTTATCATTTTATTTCTATAAAAAGAGTATAATTAGAATAACAAATGAAAACAATTATGAAATTCACTTTGAACCTTTAAGTCTTTTGGAGGCTATATATTTCGATTCCTGTAGCGTTACCATGAGTTTACAATGACCGTACTCGCTAGCGACTGCGTAAATGATTTGTATGGAGAACTGTACAGCGCTCCTAGCGGTCACTTGTGAAACTAAAAATTGCTAGTATGAGTCCTATAGTAAATTTACCTATCGAAAACCAATCGCTAGCGACTAACGTTTTTTACATTTCGTAGCTTATAATCAAGTATCAAGTATTTATAATCAACTTCGATTGCTGGCTTAATATAAGAAAAATATTCTTAATAAGAAAAAGAATATATAGGTAGTAGTATTTTATGTGTATCTGTGGTAGTACGTACCGAATTTATAAGGAAAAAGAACATTTTTGGTTGACATCTATCTACTATCTTGTCATTTAATATAAGTATCTTTCCATAAACTGTCGGCAGTGGCAGATAGCGGGATTATTTATGAAAATAATATATTTATTATCATTTTAAACCATAAATATATCAGAGATTAAGGTATGCAACAAAAAGAAACACCTTTTAATAATTGACTTTCTGTATTATGACTGTTTCATACAGAATATCAATCAGCCATTATACATTATCACAACCAAAATAAAGATACAAATAACGTAAAAAAGAACAATTTATTGAATTCACTACTTAAATATTTAGTAAAGCTGTTTCGAAGCTGTGACTTAACTAACTTATTACCATTTATATATATATAAAATTGACTAAGTATAAGTCATCTATTGCGGTTACCACAAACAATGCTCGATAATGGCGGACTATAATACAATGACAATAATACTAATTGTGTAAAAGCATCCAAACACCTAATCTACCTACGTTTGTCTAAGTACTTAAATTTAATTTTAATGGAATTCGTTAATCGTACGTACGTATGTAAGTTATTTGTTGTTCTTTGATAAAGATACGTTATCATAACGTGGGTCATCATTGTTTGATTATTAATTATATCTACTATCTACTACAAGAACAGTAGTACTTGTTGTG